AGCTGAGCAGGAAGGTGAATGTGCGGAGAGATGGGAGGCACAGGTCACCCCAGGGCCCGGGCTCTGCTGCCCCGGCAGGAAGGGGCTGTGGGACCCAGCGGCTCTGAGCCCACAGCCCCCACGGGGCCCCGTGATGCCCTCCCCCTTCGCCAGCCTGTACGTGGTCCCCCTGATGCCCGTGGCTGGTTCCAGGCTGTCCTGTGTCCCTGCCTCTGGGCCCTGGGAAAGCTGGTGCTGTCCCCTGGCTGTCCACAAACAAGGCCTCACAGACACCAGGGGGCGCCCACGGACCACACAGCAGCTCTCGGCCGGCTCCCCACGTCCCTCCCTGCAGAGGGCCTGGTCCCCGCCAGGAGGAGACAGAGAGCAAGGGCGAGGTGACCGCTGTGCTCCAGGAGGCCTGCGAGGGGCCGGCCACTCAACTGTCCTTCCCTGTCACCTTCAAAGCGGCCACTGCTGTCCCCACTGCATAAATGAAGAAACTGAGGGTCAGAGGAGGCTCAGGATTGCCCAAGGTCACACGACTGGTGGGAGGCCAGGGGTTCCACAAGGGCCTGGACCTCACCCCATGGCCTGTCCGGGTCCCGGGTCCTGTTAAATCCTGGGTGTTGCTGTCCCCGGAGGTGAAGGGCAGGATGGGAGGGCCTGGTCCAGGGAGATCCATGGACACCCCCTCCCTGTGTCTCTGTGAACACCCCCTGGGGCTTTCAGAGCCAGGAAAGCATCTGGGGCAACATCAGGATCAGGAGGAGCCCCCCCCCTCCCAGTTCACATCCACCTGGAACCCTGGAATATGAGCTTATTTGGAAATTAGGTCTTTACAATGTAATCAAGTTAAGACGGGGTGGTGCTGGTCTAGGGTGGGCCTGATCCAGTGACTGGTGTCCTGTAAGGACAAGGGAGAGGACGTGGAGACGCAGACACCGGGGAGAAAGGCCACGAGACAATATCTAGGGACAGTCGGAGCCAAGGGACACGGAGAATGCTGGCAGCCACGGACGCGGGAAGAAGCGCGAGGGACCCTCTGAGCCTTCAGGGGAGTGTGGCCCTGGGACACCTTGACGCAGAGATCTGGCCTCCAGACTGTGAGACACAGGGGTCTAGTTTTAGAGCCCACAGTTTGTGGTCCTTTGTCCCCGCAGCCTTGGCAACGGACCCAGGCAGCAAAGACAGGCTCCGGGCCTGGGCCCAGGACCCTTCTAGTGCCCTTTGACTCACAGAAACAAGGGCTCTGCTGTTTTCCAGGGAACAGGCGACTGTGAACTAAGGAGAAAGCGCAGAACTGGGACCCCACCGAGGCTGTTGCAGGGTCGAACTGACAAATGCAATTCCCCAAAGAAAGGAGCACACATGGAGCCAGGAAGCGACCATGTGCCCAGCATCTCCCCTGACCCCTGACCCCGGTGGGTATATAAAGGCCCCTGGCCCAGGAGGCTCCACACCTGACCATCTCCCCTCTCTACCTGCTCCTCTGACCTGCTCCACCCTCAACCACCAGAACCATGAGCTGCTGTGGCTGCTCCGGGGGCTGTGGCTCCAGCCCTTCCCCAGGTCCAGCCTCCTACTGACCTTCCCTCTTGTCGCCCCCCCGCCCCCATGTCCCACCTGAGCCAGCCCCACAGTGAGGTCAGAGCTGGGGGATCTGAGTGGCAGCCGAGACTCCTGGTGTCCCGCTGGGCCTGCGGTGACTTAGCGCAGGTCCAGCGCCCACCGCCGAGTCCTCGCGGTGCTCTGCCTGCGGCCTTCACCATTGGATCCTGCTCCTGTGGTGTCTGCATTCGGGTTTCCTGGGCCCCTTCTGAGTCTCAGGCTCCCTGCTCCCCCGGGGGCACAGCAGCAGGGAGATAAAGACCTTTGCTGCTGGAGTTCATGTCTGGGTGGGGTGGGCTCCTCCAGAGACCCCTGAGGTCGGCCCTGCTGTTTCCTGCCCTTTACAGCGGCTGAGCCCCGGGCACAGAAGGGCACACACCTGGGCAGGCGGCACAGAGGGAACTATCACCCTCGGTGGGGCTGCAGGTCCTGCTGGGACCACAACCAGATGCTCAGCCAGCACCCAAGGCCTCAGTTGACAGCAGAATCCGAGAGGGCTCGGCAGAGGCCAAGGTCTCAGGAGCGTGCGCTCTCTGTACTGGGAGACGGGCATCCTACCCACGATGCCTCCGCACACAGGGACCCCGATGGCCCGGGAGGCACCCACCGACTCTCAGTACCTCCCGGGCTCTCCAGGCGCACAGGCTCGGTGGGGACGCATTCGTTCCGAGAGGCACAGGATCAGGGACTGGCGTTCAGCTTCCTCCCGGGGCCCCCGAGGCCGCCTGGGTGTGGGGAAGGCAGACCGCTGGTGGCCACTCGACCTGGACCTGGGATGCCCATGCCTCCCGTGGGCTGGCCGCAGGCCCCCCTCCCTGCCCCGAGTCACATGGGTGCCACGCAGCAGGAAAGCCCTGGCGTCCCCAGCATTGCGGGCCCTGTGGCTACACACTGTGCGGGACACTGGCAGCTCAAGGAAGGTCCTGGGCTGTAACTTGGCCCTGCCAAGGCCACTGCCCTGTGCAAGCCACCCACCCGGAGGCCGGAGGGGTCAGGAGGGTCAGAGGGCTGAGAGCCCATCCCCAGAAGCCCCGCCTTCCTGCCTGGATGCCTGGTCGTGGCACCGCGGTCCCATTTCGGATGAAGGGTCACGTGGAATGAGGGGCCCTGAATGGACGATGCCCCCGGGGTACAGGGTCCTCACGGCCGCCCATGAGCCTCAGGGACCAGCTCTCAGGACTATGAAAGAAATAATATAAACAGAGCCTTTCAACACGGAGCCGGAGCTGTGAGCCCAGAGGGTCTGCCTTGCGCGTCTCTCCTCAAACCTCCGGATATTAGAGCAAAATAACCTTTGCTTGGGGCCCAGGCAGCACTGTGTCCCAAACAACCGCTTGCAAAGATGACAGAAAAGCAGGTACAATGACCACTGGGCCAGTGACCACCAGACTGATGACCACCAGGCCAATGACCACGGGGCTGGGGACGATGGGACCGATGGCCACCAGACTGATGACCACGGGGCCGATGACCACTGGACTGAAGGTGAAAAGTGTAGTTTAGATCCAGCGTCACCCTGCCACTTATCGGCGGTGACGACAACGCCTCCTTCTGTGGATGCCGTGGTCCCCCCCCCATGGATGCCACTGCCTCCTGCTCAGAGGCCGACTGGGTTTCTCCCCAAGTCACTGGCCCTTGAACAGCTTTTGTGTCTTATCTCAAATAAGCGCTAGTTGCTGCTCCCTTTGCGAGTCTCCAGCCTGCCGGCCTCCCCGTCGGGTCGTGGGCTCTGCAAACCTTCCCAGTGGCCTGAGTCAGTTCCTTAAAATAAGCCTCTTTCTCTCGGGTCACATCCTGTAGGCTCTGGGCTCTCTCTGCACAGCCCGGCGGGCACACTGCCCCGTGGCTGTGGGATACCCCCCCACGGACGCGTCTGGGTCACGCGGGCGGACCCAGCCCTCCCGGTGCCCCCATAGGACAGCGGAGGCCAGAGGCCAGCAAGGGACTCAACTGAGCAGTCCTGGGAAGGACACCTCCCCGCGGAAAAGCCCCACATTTAACCTGTGCGGGTCCCCCACGTGCAGGGCCCACACCGGGGCCTGGGCCGAGCCGGGTGCTGCTGTGCCCCACGGCCTCCTTCTGTGGGGACCGGGCTGCCAGGGCTGCCAGGAGGCCACGGACGCTATGAAACAATAAATCGCCCCCACGAGAGGCCGCCAGCTTCACTGAAAGGCGGGACGGAGCGAGAGGGTGAGTCCTCTGGCCCCAGGAGTCCCGTGTCCCACATGCCTCCGTCTTCCCTGCTGGAGCCCTGAGCGGGGGCCAGGGCGTAAATTCCCAGGGAGAGGACTCCTGCTGGCATCGCCTGATAGACGTGGCGTTTCCAGACCCGAGTTCTCCACTGGACACGTTCGGGGCTAGAAACACAAGATGCAGAGCCTGGAAAGCCCCCTGGCTTAAAAATGTAGTCACTGGGCCGATGCTTCAACCACCGAGCCACACGGTCGGGGCCAGAACTGTTTTCAGGACGGTTCTGTAAGAGCCTGGCGCTCACGGAACCTCCTGTCGGCTAGTTCATCAGTCCCAGTTGGCCCGGTNGGAACTAAGAGCCTGGCGCTCACGGAACCTCCTGTCGGCTAGTTCCTCAGTCCCAGTTGGCCCGGTGGCTTCCTGTTTACTCAGGGTTCTCACCTGTCCGAGCTGCGGGCCTGCGCTGCCTCCGACGGGCCCCGGCCGGCCGCTCCCTCCGCACACCTTCGCTCCGCCTACCGCGCAGTCCCGGCCGAAAGGCCCCCTGGTCCCCTGTCCTGCAGGGCGGACAGACCTCCTGGGTTAGAAGCAGACTTTCCCATCGGAGTCGGCGGGGGTGCGACACTGAGCCCTGGCCCCCCCAGGCAGTGTCTGAATGGGGTCCCAAAGCCTCCAAATCGTCTCCCCCCCCCC